AGTCATAGGACACACCCTGTACTCACTTCGGATACCCAAATTACTCCTTTGTTATTTTCCGCGGACGCTTCTCGAGGCGATCCCCACCTCAACCCCCCTTTTGAGGACGGTCGTGAACAACTGATGACACTACTAACCTTCTGTTCTGTGCTGTGAATGTAAGGCAGAGGCATTTACGGGTTCAATGTCGCGTATTCCTCGCTTTTCATTCAACGGATTCAATAGCAACCAGCTATTGCTCAAGCGCTCGCAGGTGATACCGTCACATCCTCTGACAGTGACGCCGAGCGCCTTATCAGACAAAGCATGTTCCGAGCGCTAAGCACCTCCCTTTCACCAAAACCACCATGTCTACCGCGAGGGGTAGCTCAACGGGAAGCCCTAGCATTGAGATTACAGGTAACCTCCCAGGTTTTTGCCCCCAGGTCAAATATCTGACACCCATTGACTAGAAATCCGCGTTTCATCCCAGCACATCCTCAAATCGGTCCAACTTTCGATTGGATCGTTCGAGCGGGAATCACCTTGTCTCCTGAATGCAAAGATTCACAACTTTGAGTTGTCATCCCCCTGGTGAGCCGATGATCATGTGTAGCATTGGACGACAAACCCAGTCAAAGCAGTCAACTTTCGCCTTCAGAGTCCCTCTATCTGCAAGTCCGATTCCGCGGATTGTTTCGTGCTGCGTCGAAGAGCAAGATACCTCTCGATGAACTGCTAAGCAAGGTCGGCCCCCACTTCTCCGGAAAACAAGGCAAGTGCCTCCCTGCTGCAATCGCTCCTGTCTTGCTGATGCAGGACTTTCTACTCTAGAATGGTCAAAATCATTTGACAAGTTCGATGTCGTCCTGAAGTTTAGCCGATACGCAGGGGTGTGTGCACTTCTTCCTCAAACGCAAAAGCGTCCGCCTAATGCAGGTGCTATCGATCTTAGAATGCTTTAACCAAGGCAGAACCTCCGACGAGTGGCGACCTACAACCCACAACGGATGAGTTATTCAAGTTGGTCGAACGGTTAGTCTGCTTAGTCCCCGACTACTCTGACTAAACCTTACCGCTAGGTTCCGAGTCCTGGTCATCGGCAAAGTAACCCTCTTATACCTCTATTGTCAGGTATTAGCCCACAGTTTGTTTCCCCGTCTTCTCAAGATCCGCTCCTAAAGCTTGTCCTTCCCCAGACCGTGGCTCATTCAGAAGCTGGCGTGTCGGATATCAATACTGAGATTATATCCAGCGAAAATGGAAGATTTGTTCTGCACGACAGCAAAGCGTGACTTAATCATCCAATTCCCTGTGTACTTTATTGTCTATGTACACATGCCATAATCCAAACAAAAAGAAGCCAGTGAAATGAACTTGTATAGGACCAAGAGATGGTGATATGGAGGATGTACACGAAAGGCAGTAACGCAGCTCACATTCAATGCGGGCTGCTTGCTTCAGCTTGTACAATGCCCTTTCCGGAGTTTCCCTCATGTAGCTCTCGACCAAAAATGTCTCCCTTCTGCACGCGCCAGATGACATAGTTGAAGAGCCCTTAGGGTAGCAGTCCGCTGATTCGTGTTACGACCGAGTGAATAGAACATCGTAGTCGAAAGACGAGTATCGACTGTAGATGAGGTATTTGATGAGTTCATCGACCGCTCTGTGCAACTATTGCGAGAAAAGCCCCAGTAAAAGGCTCAGAGGTGAATTCGATGATGTTATTCCATTGAGGGACATTCGTGAATTCTTGTTTACTGATACAGAAAGGTGGTGAAAGGTTGGTGGGAAACACCCAAGTAAACAAACTATATCTCAAGAACCTGAACGTGAAGGACGGACTTGTAACATGAAGATTGCGGGGGTCGCCGTGGGATGGCTGGACACTGGACTCCTGTGAGTCTCTCCAGTTGTTGACCTCGTCATGGATGTCCTCAGGCTCCAGTGTTGTAATTTTTTCCTGTTCTCCTCGTCTTGTTCGCAGCTGTAAAGGACACTGCAAGGCTCGGAATGGTTTGTGGGAGATTGTTGCTGGTTCTGTGGGTGTTCGCTGGGTGCTCGTCTGGTGATCGTTTTGGTAGATTTGTGTGACTGCGCCTCTTTCCTCCATGCACCTTCCTCAAAGGTCACAGATTCAGCTATGGCGGAATGCGCAAATGACAGCGACTTCTCGAGGAAAAACAGCTCAGTGAAAGTCGCAACCCAGGGAGCTACCCAGGTTTGAAGCACGTCGTGGCATCCCTTTGGAAGCGGACTTTCTCTACGGCGGATCTTGAAAGTCGCAGGTTAGATGTCATTCGAATTTACGGTAAGTGAGCTCTTATGCTGTGCACCTGCAAACGAGAATGATTGTGACCTTGCAAGCGGAAAATGCTGTACGTGATCACACAGCGATTGTAGGGCCGATCTGTGCAGGAAGGGTTTATGGAAATGCGACACAGGCATAGACAACGTACCACTTGCGATTCCGACTTCAATCCAATTCAAGTTCTAAATGTGAAGGTTTTGTAGGGGTCCAGACGTTCTACCAACCAGAATATTTTGTAACTGGTGGGGAGGTTGCACCAAAATTGATGTTCCATTTTATGTTTCCCGTTGCCCTAATAGAATAGCCAAGATGAGTATACATGGTTCGTAAATCAAACTCGACCCACCTAACCGCACAGACCAGCTTCTTCCGTTCCGCGCTGGGCAGCACCGCACGTCTACGTAGCTCTGGGCACTGCATTTGAAACTGGCGGTGAGAAACCCAAAGTGGGTCACTGACCAGTCCGTCACGGTCTTGAACAGTGAGGAGCGCTTTTCTCGCAGCCTGAAAGGTAACTGATCGATAAATCAGATATGAAGACCTCCCGTAGATGAGGGCTTACCATCTCAGCACGTTGAACTGTCTCGACCATTGAGTGTCGTGACCGTCGTCGTAATCTTGAGTCTGTTATTCTGGTAAACACACAGTGTGAGAGCGGATATAACAGACCCACCTCGACTTGAAACGTGGATGTCCTGCTTGTAATCTATGACAGCGTTGAGATGCACGAGTTTGCCCCCTCTTATTTGACACGTCATTTTGGTGAAACACTTCAAAAAGGCGTAGGCCCTTACATACGACGATTCCGCAATCTGAGCCGATCATAGGCGTCGAGTTGTACATCCCTTCAGTGGTGAGCATTTATCGCGACTGACTATCAGAGAGTTTGAGAGTTGAAGTGGGGACCGATTCTCTCTCGAGAATGATCAGCTTCGTATGAGGTGAAAAGCTCGAGAAGAAACCTACTATTCCTAATGTGTCTTGTAATACAGGAAAGGGTGCTCGGTTTTGAATCTGGCCCCCACAACCATTGTCACTCTGGAGAAGATGACACCGAAGAGTGCATTGCTGGCGGCCTCGATGTCTGCGAGACGCACAACTTCACTTTTTGATTCATAATTAGATCAAGAAGTTCATGTAAAACCGTAAGATCTTACAGGACACCACTTTCGCACTTGCCATTTGAACCTGAGGGCCAACTTTTTTGAGGGAAGTCTATGTCCCGCCCAGTAGTCAAGAAATCAGATGGTGGTGAACGCCACGATGTCCTTAACATCAAGAACAGTCAGCTTCAGAAAAGTCGCGAAGCGCAAGAAACAACTCACCGTGAAGGGCGCAAGATCGAAATCTCCACACACATGAAGCCACCCCACTCTGCACCCACGTCGCTGTCTACAAAGCCGCAGGCTCATAATGGTCCTTGATCTCTCGAAACCCATACTCCTCCTTCCCAAAAATCTCTCGGCAGAAATACTCGTTGCTGATCGACATCTTCACGAAAGTCATGGAGGCCCATGGCGTTTGAGAGTAGGAGCTATGAGCCTAGCCAGGGGCCTTCCTTATCGAGGCTAAGAAGATGCGAAAGAGGCCTTCGCCGACGAGGCCTGGGACGTAGAGGTCATATTCAGAGCTGGTAGAGAGGTAGATGGAGCTGGTGGTGGCTGCTTTGTGGGCGTAGTCTGCTATGCTGGTTTCCATATTTTGAAATTCAAAGTTGACCTCGACGAAATGGGGGTCGAAGACGAACACGACAGGTGCATGGGTTGGAGGTGAATCCACGGTAGCAGGAGTGAGTGGCGCCCTCGAAGATAAAGTCGACGTCCAAGAGTCCAAAGAGGGAACAACGCCCATACCATGCACGATACACTCCTGCAACGGTTCAACGGACGAACATGGTCCGCATCAACATTCCTCCCTCTCCTTCGCATCTGCCATCCGAGATTGGGCTTGAGAAGCACAATGAAACGGTGATACCCAATTCCGAGTGATTATATGCGTATTGCGTGGAGTAGAGGTTGAGTCCCAAGTCCAACCTTTTTGGATCTCAACTTCCTTTCACGTCATTTAGGCCCACGGAAACCCTGGCATGGAAACCTGAAATCAAGCACAACATCCTCAGGCACGCGGTTCGCCCACCCAGCATCGAGCACGTCGATTCTAACAGAGGAAGGACTTCGCGTGGCGATCACGCGGAAATGACGAGGCAAAGTTTATCTTGTCCGAGGCGTACAGGGAAGTTTGGATGAGGGTTTGGATGAGGGTCCGGATGAAGGGTTGATAGAGTTCGAAATGGGGGAAGAGGCAGATGAGGCGGAAGACGCGGGATTCGAAGTGGAATGGGGGATTGAGGCGGAAGGAAAACTTTGGAGGATTGGAAGGGCCAGGACGAGCGCCATCTCCCTCAGCCATGTTTGTTCGTACTGGCGTACCCTTGCATTCTCCATTTCCAGCCTCTGGTCGTCACTCTGCGTGATTTGGCCCAAGATGGGCTATGCCCCCGTGCGGCTTTGGCTCGAAGAATAGAGGTCGCGTCCTCTCTCCCTCTACACCAGCATCACTGCGTGCAGACGACTTCCTCGAACAGCTGCATGGTGTCGAAGCAGAGGCGGTTGAAACCTCACTGAAATCTCGACGAGCGTGCTTTGATTTGTTCCCATATTATGACTGGCACTAGGTCGGCCATGTAAACTCGGAAGGCGGGATTAGGATCTGAAGGGGCGAGGGAGTGCGAAGGAGGGTCAAAGCCATGCGATTATGGTGGGTTTGCTTCAACGAGTTCTGGTTTACACCGACGTACCGGTTGTGTACGAACACTTGTGTGTGTTTCCAGAGTGGCCTGTGAGTGTAGCAGGACTTGATCATCACGCGCTTCTGAAGGTAGCAATTTGACATTGTAAGAAAGAAGCTCAAAATTCAAGAGACGTACATTTGTCTCAAAGTTTTGTGGTGCAACTCAAGGCCATGTTGGACGAGGAGTGGATGATAAGGAGGAATGAGCCAGGAGTGGCGCGTTTGCTGTATGCTTGTTGACTGAGTTGTCCAGAACGTTCACCCAGCGTTCACCTGCCATTCACTACCACCATAGGCTTCTTCGCCGCGAATGTGGAATTGCAGCAAAATGATGTTGCGCGTGCTCGCCGATCAAGGCATTGAGAGTATCTTGGATCCGGCGCACTTGTGTTTGCCTACCACTGAGAGGCAATTTCCGCTTTATTCATTCCAACCCAGTATGCTTTTCATTCTTTAAGAAATTCTCTCAACGAGTGCGATTAATGTCAAATTTCAACAGCTTAGGTTCAACCCCAATGAATGGGCGGTAGTCGACGAGCGTGCTCAGAGCTCAAAAACTGCCAGTACTCTCTTCCCGGTGTAGACAACCTTATTTTCCGGAAGTTTGGGGGTACGAGACACCCACCAGCAGGGATGACGGCTGCTGAATTCCTGGACGTTCCACGAGAAGAAGTACTGGCACTCAATTGCTCAGGTTAGAGCGTATATGGAGTACGTGGTTCAGGCGAAGCAGGACGAGGAGGGCATGACTTGGCATCTTTATCCTGATGAAGAATTTCACCCTGGCTTGGACGGGAACAGGCAAAGTAGCGAACACAGGGTGCGTGTATTGATTAATACATCCCCATTTTTTAATACTTTTTAGCAGAATTCGCCGGAATGATTCAATGAAGTCGCCCTGTCAAAACGCACAATACATTTTGTACCTCTGCGAGAATGGGTTAGAAGCATGTCGACCAAAGCGCCGAACAGCTGCATCGCAGCAAAACGATTGGTTGTGGGCCCCCAAGCTTGAGCCCAGCAGGTTTACCGTCAATGTTCGTGGAGAAGTCTTTTCTTCAATTGAACTTCAAGGTGGCCGAACTTTCACCTCAGTCTAAGCTGTTGGCTCTGCCAGAGGTGTTATACATACAGGAGTTTCGACTTCCATGAGTTTCTGATGGAGGACGGTAACAGGCACTTCAAGTTCACCTTTGGCCTTGGGGAACAAAAGCTTGACGAGGAACCCTCGACGATGAGACCTCAAATCTAGCGTCATTGACTTTGGATTAGTCTCAGCATCAGGTTCAGAAATGCGATTTCTTGTTGATTCCCCTTATCCGCGATTAAGGGCTGCATATCTTACGGTGGAGGGCAATATGTGGGGGACTTGTGTGACAACACGAACGGTCACGTCGCGTTTCAAGCCAATTGTCGTCGGGTCGATAACGGGTGACTCGTATCGCAACGAGTCCTGGTCACCCCGGAGGGCGCCTCACAAGCATTCTCCAGCGTGTCAGACTTTGTCGACCATCAACAATTTTTGTGCCAATATATTCGTGTCAATGTGTTTTGCCCCCACTTCTTCCCAAGGAATATTTTTTGGCTCGAAAGCGACCGCGATCATTGATTGGGCAACTGCTGGATTCCATTCGGGATTTTGGGAATATGCTCGCATGCATGACCCTATATACTCCTGCTTGCTCACCTGTATCGGCGGCCCGCAAACAAGGGGATATCAGACGCCTGTTTGAGCTCATTAACATCAGCCTGTAATCAACCAACTTCACGGTCAGCTCTTTTTGCTCCCCAAGCGCATGATTTCTCTCACGTTTTGACTTCAGTCCTTTCAAGGTGTTACTCAAGTTGTTAGAAAGGCACAATGTATTCCTCAGACTCACAATACCCCTCAGTGGTGCGGAAGTGGGACTATTCCCTGTCAGAAACAGATAGTCCACTGATTACGGGAGTCACCAATTGGTCGTGACCAGTGTCACCCCATCGTTCAAGCGCTCTATACTGCCTCACGACTAGAAAGTATTGCTATAACCACAAGCAAATCATCGTCGAACTCGAGACTGAGAAGGAAATTGCTCAGAAAGCCTTGAAAACTATGATGAAGCAGCGAAACGAAGCAGACGCCCTGTTGGCGGCCTTGAGCAGCACTGTCGACAGAGGTGAAGCTCTCCTTGATGACATTGGCGAACAAATGTTTAACGTAGAATGCGATCTGCAATCGCTGCAAGGTGGATCGGAGGGGCAGATCTCAAACACGAGGTTCAGGAATCGCAGCGAAACTTGCGACGAAATCAAACCTGAAATCGAGGAAGGCCAACTAGAGCTGCGACGGCTCTTGGAGCAATGTGAAGACATCTCAGAGCAGTTGGATCTCCATCGTGACCAACTCTCGCTCATACACAAGGTTCCCCCAGAGATCATTCGTATCATATTCCTCTTCTGGGCCTCCGACAGGCATTTTCTCCAATCCCCAACTCATGTCTCTCCAAGTGTTCTGACTGGCGTTTGTGTTGCCTGGAAGAATATTGCACTCGGTATGCGTCCTTCTTACTGGTCGAGATACGGAAAGGGAAGTTCTACCCTGACAAACATACCGTTGAAAGGTGGATTGAGCGCTCTGGCTCCTCCGCGCTTTCTTTCTCTATTGAAGAGAGAGATTCATCTTTTCACAGCAGCCATGCAGGAGTTGATCAGATTCCGCCCACCATGCCACACGACAATACAAACTCTGAGCACCCCGCTGGATCACCAGTTGCGTCCATGCTCGATCTCTTCATTCCCCATCACTCTCGATGGCAGAGAGTCCGTCTGAGATACAGCGATGCATCGCCTGGTAAAGTTGTTACTGCCTTGCCATTGCCCATGAATGCCACGTATCCTTTACTTGAAGAGGTATACTTGGACAAAGGTTACTGGTGGGCACAAGAAGATCTAGACTGCATCAAATCCATGATGGTCTCCGCACCACGGCTCCATTCCGTTACCTGGCTAAGCGAGAAATCATACAAAATGCTTGCCTTTCCATGGAAGCAGCTCACACACTTCTCGCAGGGCCCCATTGCCACTATGAACGAGGGTCTTCGTGTCCTCGCGATCTGTCCTCATCTCAAATCCCTGGAGCTGACGCTCTTTCTTCCCATGTTTCCCGTCGACGACGACGACGGTCCATTTGTCCACAACACTTTAGAACGCCTACATCTACGTACTGCAGGTAACCTGGCAGTGCTTATCGACAAAGTCACTCTGCCGGCTTTGAAGGATCTGTCACTCTCCGAATTACATGGAACCTCACCCAACCCCCCTGTACAGCTTGGCCGGTGGCCACAATCCCAGTTCCTTCCATTCCTCCTACGTTCAGGTTGCACCATCAAGCAATTCATCATTCAGGAGTGGGATATCTCAGCAGAAGAGATAGCGGAGTGCCTCGGACATCCGCAGATATCGAAGTCATTGGATCCGTTGTCTATCACGGAATATCACCAAAAGCATCTGTGCATGACGGATGAGGTTCTTAGGCGGTTGACGTATACCCCATCAGTTATCTCGTCAGAAAACGTTCTGTGTCATGGAGATGACCAGCTGGCCGAGGACACCCCATTGGAGACTATCTGTCCGAATCTCACGACCATCAAGCTGTGGGGATGCATTTCTGCCCAGGATGGAATATGGTTGAGTCTAGGTGGTTGGCCAGGACCGAAGGCCGCCCCATCATGCAACTGAGGACGGCGGCAATTGGGTTTTTCGCTGACGCGTGTCATACGGAGGATTGGGCTCGGTTGGAGGCGTTGAACGTAGAGAGGTTCGGGATCACACATATTCGACTGTGATGGTGGGGTTCCAATTCGTTTTCTGTACATGTCAAAATGGTGTGAAATACATTACATTTATCACCAGAAATATCTACGTCACTAAGTTAGCTAAAACCAACACAATCCCAGCCCATCAACGACGTCTTGAGCAACTCTTCTACCAAGCCAACGTCTAGCAGAACAACACAACAATGAAGAGCCCTAAGCGCCGATAGCCTTTGCCCACCAGGGAAAATGTATAGACGTTCCGTTTCTCTATAATCACGGTGTCCAGAATCGTCCCAACAAAACGAAACTATTTTGTGAAAGATCAATGGTGTGTCATTAGATGCTCTTTTTCCAGCACTACCATAGCGATGTTGTTATTTATCCCGAGAGCAACATCAACATAAATAGAAGGCGTTTGTGATGAGTGGTTCTGCTGCCCGTGTCCTCGTTCCAGTGGGCGATGCAGACCGCGGTGGAATTGGATGGGTGGAACGGGAAGGGAGAGGGCCTAAATGAGGGTTTGAGCGTGGCTATTCATTACACCAACCGGTCTTGCCCTGATAGAATAAGCGAAGGGACAGGTTAAATGGAAACTTGGACTTGCTGTGGTCCATTGTCTGGATTACATTACGTTGTAAGATTTCGGGTGAGGGAACTTAATTGACCGTAGAACCGAACGACTGTGAGGGAGAGAGGGACAGCTGGCTGGGATACAACAACGGCTGATATCTCGGCGGAAGAGGGGGGATGATGCTTGCAGCCTCCATTCTCATTCCATCACCCTTGACTGACCAAATCACCATCGTTACCGTCGTCCTAGAAGTGCCTGTCTTAACTCTTGTAAGATGTCCTTGGGGTAAGAGGCTCGATTTGTAGGTGTTCTCGGTGGCAGGCTTGGAATAGGTGACCCGATAGCCAAGCTCAAACTGTGGACGAGTACACTCCTTCAATGGATCCCCACGAGAAGCGAGGGTGCTAGCAGTCGACAAATGGGTGTTCGCGGTGGCTTTGAAATATTGCCCTGGTATGATGATTAGGAGACGATCCTCGAGGAGCAGCTGGTCAATTTGTATGTAGAGGTTGACATTGGTTGAGACTCGGTTCTTGCTTGGGTGGCCGAACTGACGAACGATGCCAAAACCAGACAGATGTGGGGGAGAGGGGAAACCAGCTGGCATGCGGTCATATCCTAGGGAACCTTTAATGGATGATGCATGCAGCCTCTCGTCATTTCCGTCACCACCCTTAATTGATCAAACNCCGTCACACTCGTACGGGGGAATGCTTTTGTC